TTCGAGAGTTATGGCTTCAGCGTTTGCCTGAAAACGTACAAGCTATGCTATCGCTTGCGAAATCGCAGCCTTTGTCAGAAGTTGCAGATATTGCTGATGACATGATGGATCGTTTCACCGAAGCACCATGTCCGTCGTCTAGTTCTCTTCGCTCACCTGACGTAGGTTTTACTGTTGACCCTTCGGTCCAATCCATCGGCACCGCTACTCCACCTTCGACTGGTGAGCTCTTAGCAGAGATAGCCGCACTACGGCAAGAAGTTCAAAGCTTAAAGTTACATCGGCACCAACGGGATTCTCCATCCCGTTCACCTAGCCCATCTCGAAGACGAACACGATGCCCAATTTGCCGTTATCACGCACGTTTTGGAAGGCCCGCTAGAAATTGTATAAAGCCATGCTCATTTCCCGTAACCAGAAAAAAGACAGGCCGACACGTATTGGCGACGAACGCCGTCGGCCGAAGTCCTCCAAACCGCCTCTTCAATATTGTTGACAGGAACACCGGGATCATGTTCTTGGTTGATACCGGGGCGGAAGTTAGCGTGATCCCACCAGTTCCAGGCGACGCGACTAAGCCACAGACAACCAACTTGCGTGCCGCTAACGGCACTGCTATCCGAGTTTTCGGTCAGCGCTCTCTTACCATTGACCTCGGACTACGACGTTCCTTTCGATGGATTTTCACCATCGCTGCGGTTCCGTTTGCTATATTGGGTATCGACTTCCTTCAACACTTCGATCTTCTCGTCGATACGCGTCATCGCAAAATCGTTGACAAAAAGACCCAGCGTTTCACATGTGGAGTTGGCACAACTTGTGTTTCTGTCACTCCCATTTACATTCAGCCCGAAGCTGATAAGGAAATTTTAGATCTGTTCAGACAGTTTCCGCAGCTGGTCCACTCAGCTGACGCTACGCTTCCGGTCGCATCTAGCGTTACGCACCATATACGAACCCGTGGCCCACCGGTTTCTGCACGGCCACGACGTCTCGCCCCTGATAAGCTAAAAGCCGCTAAGGCGGAATTCGAGCACATGCTCGAACTTGGTATCATCCGTCCTTCCGAAAGTCAGTGGGCTTCACCTCTCCACATGGTGCCCAAGAAGGGTGTCGACTGGCGGCCCTGCGGAGACTAGCGGGCGCTGAACAAGTGCACAGTTGCAGATAGGCATCCTATACCGCACATCCAGGACTTTACAAGTAGTCTCGGTGGTAAGTCAGTGTTTAGTAAGATAGACCTGACGCGAGCATTTCACCAGATTCCTGTAGAGGACTGCGATATCCCCAAAACGGCAGTCATAACACCCTTTGGTTTATTCGAGTTCCTTCGAATGCCTTTCGGGTTAAGGAACGCTGCTCAAACATTCCAGCGGTTCATCCATGACGTTACTCGTGGTCTGGACTTCGCATATCCTTACGTGGATGACATTCTAGTAGCTAGCGCCTCTAAGTCGCAACACTTAGAGCATCTGCGTACTCTATTTCAACGCCTATCTGATCGAGGCGTTACATTGAACCCTAGCAAGTGCGAACTAGGAAAATCGTCGATCGAGTTCCTAGGTCACCGCATCTCAGCTACAGGTATGGAACCACTGTCTCAAAAGGTAACCGCCATCAAAGATTTCCCTGAACCTACATCGTTTAAACAGCTTAAACGTTTCCTTGGGATAGTTAACTACTATAGACGCTTTATTCTGTGTTGTGCTAGGATAATGCAGCCCTTGACTGACTTGCTTCGGGGCAATCAATGTTCGTTTGTTTTTACCAAATCCGCGCGATTAGCCTTCACAAACCTTAAAGACGCAATCGCTAATGCTGCTCTTTTAGCACATCCAGTACCATCTGCTCCAATTTCTCTCTTCACTGATGCCTCAGACGAGGCCGTTGGTGCTGTTCTTCAGCAGGCTGTCGACAATACATGGCAACCTTTGGGTTTCTTTTCGAAACGGTTGCAGCCAGCAGAGACACGTTACAGCACCTTCGGGAAAGAACTTCTGGCAGTTTACCTCGCCATCCGTCATTTTCGTCCTTTTCTAGATGGCAGAAACCTTACCGTCTTTACTGACCACAAACCTTTAGTTTACGCCCTCGACTCATCATCCAACCGATGCTCTCCGAGAGAGATACGCCACCTGGACTATGTCTCACCGTTTACGTCAGACATACGTCTCGGGTGTGCAGAACTCCGTCGCTGATGCTCTTTCTCGCGTCAGCTCCATCACTTCCGCTGAAGGTATCGATCTAACGGCAATGGCTGCCGCTCAACAGACCGACCCAGAGCTAGATCAGCTTCGTAATTCTAGCTCCTTGCGCATACGACCAGTTCCACTGCCTATTTCGGATGGAACCATACTTTGCGACGTTTCGCAAAATTCACCACGACCAGTGGTTCCCCAAGCTTTCCGACGCACTGTGTTTGACATTCTTCACAGGTTATCACATCCAGGCATTCGTGCCACAGTTAAGCTCGTCACACAACGCTTCGTGTGGCGCAACGTCAACGGGGACGTTAGACAGTGGGCTCGTACGTGCTTTAGTTGCCAACAGTCAAAGGTTCATAAATAAATAAATAAATAAATATTTATTCTCGACTATGCGAGGCACGCCAGTTGAGGCATGATCAGGTATGTACAGCTGTACAGACATTTTATGGGAACTGTAGTGACAGTAGAAAATTGTTCATATGTCCATGCTTGTAACTGTGCGATGGTGAACATGCGAAAGAACGATTTGTTTGGACATAATCGCTCTGCCATATATCGCAGTCATACCTTGAGTAATAATAGATAAAGTATCCTGAGTGATCCATTGGAAGATAATTGAAGAGCAAGCTATCCAGTATGATGCTTCTAATTGAGCTGCCAGTGTGAAGTTATGGGCTGTGACCTTATTCGGTGGCGAGTCACGTTCGCCACGTTGCAGTGTTGTTAAACGGACATTTGTGGCTTTTTATAGGGAGAACGCACGAAAAGTCCGCTGGGTTCATTTCCACTTCCTGATGCCCGTTTTCACCATATTCATATTGACCTTGTTGGGCCACTGCCCCCATCTAATGGGTGCGTTTACTTGCTGACTTGCATAGACCGTTTTACAAGATGGCCTGACGCCATCCCAATGTTAGATTGCTCATCAGACACTGTCGCTCGCGCTTTTCTAGAGCGCTGGGTCTCACACTTTGGTAGTCCTGCCGTTGTGACAACTGACAGAGGTTCGCACTTCGCAGGCACATTTGCTCACCTTCTTCAGACCCTCGGCTGCCGTCACGTCCAAACGACTGCATTCCACCCTGCCGCCAACTGCATGGTTGAGCGTTTTCACCGCCAGCTGAAAGCTGCACTATGTGCGCATGATAACGCAGACTGGTACGAAGCGCTTCCCGCCGTTTTACTTGGCTTACGAAATACTGTCAAAACTGACATTAACGCCGCTCCAGCTGAACTCGTCTATGGCTGCACATTGCGTCTCCCTGGACAATTAGTCGCCCCAACCCCGGAGAGTGCATGGAACTACAAGAGCTACATAGCTCGTCTGACGCACCACATGCGTCAGCTGCATCCCGCGAGACCCAGGGAACAACGCACTCCAGTGCACGTTCCGAAAGACCTTTCTACATGTTCTCACGTATTCTTACATGTCGACCAAGTGAGACAGCCTCTCTCCGCACCTTACACAGGTCCACACCGTGTTATTAAACGGTCTTCAAAAACTTTGGTGATTGACCGCGGGAGTAAAAGGGATACTGTCTCGATAGATCGCGTCAAGCCTGCGTTCATCGATTAACAACAGTTGGTTCCATCATCGGTCTTAACGCAATCTACAGAGCCACCTGTAACGACGCCCAGCTTTTCAGCTCCACCACAATCCCAGTCATCAGATTCGCCGCAAACTAATACCAGTCACGGTAGAAGAGTTCGTAAACCTGTAGCGCCTGTAAATTTACTTATCTTTCATTGTACATTCCTTTCCTATTACAACCAATTCTTGTACATTAACCTTGCATACTTGTTTTGATTGATAAATAACACACTTTTTGAACCACGCGGGCAAATCGACGTGTTCTCTTGTAAGGAAATCGAAACCGCCATGGGTCGTTTTAAAGACTACTTAAATGATCTCTTTCTTCTCTCTTTCATTTGCAGATTCTCGAGAAACCGCAGATATATGAAAACGTGCGAAGGCACTTTACCGACCCAAAAACTCTGACATTCCCTTTTTGTTTTGATTGTCTTATCAAGGTCCTGTACACTCCTCTA